TAGATTGCAATCCACGACATCAATGCACGCACTCAGGCTGGCTCCAGCCTATGTTAAGCTTGTTTCTTGCTTGTAAAGTTACGCACTCAGTGCATTGGGTAAAAGCCACATTTCTTCAGTATAAGTTAGCAAAAGACCAATGACTCAACTCGATGAATTCTGTCACACGCCAAACACTAAACAGAAGATTGAGCTACGAGCCTGGCTTGCAAGGCTGAAGACCGATCTCGACGTGATAACCTGTTATTTTATGTCTTACCAAACGTTTCACACAAAAACTTGCACCAATCTGAAAAAAAAAAAAAAGTTTCACAATGGCTCCTGACAGGCGGAATGTTCGCTTATCATCCGAAGACATAGCACGGGCACACGTAGTGGACAGATACGTGGCAGGCAAGAATAGATCGTTCATTGCTAAATTTTGCGATTCCAAGTCCAAAATGCTTCTAACTTGCAAGAAATCAATCTGACGGGCTGGTAGCATTTCAAAAGACTTCTCTGCATCAACTCGCCATGCTCTTTACAAGCTGACAGAGCTTGGCATTGGTTTAGCGCACTTCGATCTGCGTGTTTGATGCTCACTGTTCATAAAGCCATTGCCACTACCCAAGGGCGACCAGATTAGGTCGTCCTCATTCTGCCACTCGATGGGAGAGTGTGAGGGCTCACCATCAGTGCTTTCGATCCTTTATGCCAACATTCTTATTACAAAAAGAGACAGTCTGAGTGTTTTAGTTAATGAAATGGATGCTGATACAATTCTTTCACCACACCACACCTATTAGATTTGATACTAATGTGATCACCAGATCACATTAGTATCATTAGTATCATCAGAAATCACTCATTTGGCCAGACCCAATGACCATGACGTGCTACATTTTTCAATTTCTGTACCGAAGACTAAAATGGAGCAATTGCTTTAAACTTACAAAAGATTAAAGTTAGGCCAACTTTGACGCTATCAACACAGAGCTTTTTTTCCCTTACTCGACAGCTTTTGTCTTTCACACACCGACGCTTCGATCGAAGAATTGTGGGCGCGTTTCAAAAGACAAAGCAGGTGCGTTTAATTAAAAAAAAAAAAAAAACATATCCCAGCAAGGAAGGTTTATCAGTTATACAACGGGCCTGGGTACACAAGGCACCTTAACCAGCTATATCTAACCAAGACAGTAGGCTTTTTGATACTGCAAAGAAACAGTCATCTGCTGAGAAGTTGTTAATTTATGCTGCCACACCTAAAGCATACTCTAGAGCTTTGAGAGAAACCAAGCTTTACTTACATAATAATAATACACTTGTGGTATTACTCCAAACCAACCCAAGACGCTTTTAGAACGTCGTGAAAAGCTGGAATAATCAAACTATAGCTCTTATTGATGAATCTGGTGAAACAATCCCAAGCTATACCTAACATCATTCCTTCCCATTAATTTTGCTCCATTCACCCTGGCATCCCTCTACGATTCACTGTGTCTAGCTACTTTTCAACGAAACCCATTTTACGCGGCTCATCTGGTATCCGCTCCATCATTAACAATTGAGAGAGATCATCCTCTTGCACTATCGATAGCATTACACCCGAATTTCAACAGGTTACTGTCAAATATAGGTCCATTACACTAAAACTTATTTTTCCAAAAACACTGAACAACAGTTCCTTACCTAAAGACTGCAAAAGAGGCAAGGTGATTCGACTTCATAAATCCAGTGACATACACACCAGATTCATGAAGTATAGACCTATTTTTTTTACTTCTATGCCTTGTAAAAGATTTGAACATATCATTTTCTCGCATATAGTCGATTTCTTGAAATAGAATAAGTTTTTTTTTATAATAGTCAACATGGCTTCCAGAAGTTCTCCTCATGCGAAATGCAATTACTAACATTTTGCAATGATTTTCACACATTTCTAGAAGTCGGCTTTATAGCACACTGTAGATTTTTAGATTTCACGAAGAATTTTGACTGAGTCTAGCACCACTGACTCTTATTGAAACTCAACCAGTTAAACACTGTTTTTTTTGGTCTTCAATTTGATTGGGGCCAAGAAATCAATGTTTAATTGGCTGAACAACATTTGTAAATAACATCTAAATAACATTTCAACATAGTGTAAGCTCTGGGTGATACCAGATGTTAAGGGGAGGAGAGATTCGAAAAAAAAAAAAAGTTGCATTATTCTGTAGCCTAGGGCCAGTGTTGCCCCTGACTTTCGAGTGAAATTCGCCAAACGACGAGTGAAAAGTCGCCATTTTTCTTTAAATTTAGCAAAAAAAAAAAAAAAATGTCACCACTTTGCATATGTGTGGCGTGCCAAGTAATAGATGGCCAATTATGTACAGCCCTGTGGACAACAATAACGTCCGTCACTTCTAATTTATATTGCCGTTCTTTAATGCCAGTTGCATCACCCGCACTTGACCATGGTAGCACTTGAAAAAGCATGCACGCACCATAAGCGTCCCTGAATGCTACCGCCTCAGTTCGCCACTGTTTTAGTTGTAGTGGATACAGGATGAAGCATTCACTACAACAAAAGAGGGATGGCGTGGAAAGTTTCTTTACAAATTTATCATGGTCTCAAATTTCAAGAATTTCATCGAGTGGGATGGTGTGTTTGATAAGCGAACAACTTAATTACAAAACAAAGGTAATAAATTCGAAAGTAGGGCGTAACCATCGCAATGCACGCAACACGTTTTCTGTGCAGTCATGCATACGCTGAACATTAGCCTCAGTGCAGTTTCTGAAGGCTGTTCAAGGAAGCCGACTTCTTGGCCTGCCCTAAAAGAATGTTAATAAAAAATGCAAACTCTACATAAAAAGTTAGGGGGTACTACAGCCGAGAAGAAGTGGACAATCTATTTAGAACAGTTGAAGCTGTGGTCTGAACACATGGCCTAACCTTCACCTAGCCACTTCAGAAGCCAAACTTTAAAGAAGCCTAAAGCTCTTAAAGGCCCTAAAGAACTTAGTATCCACCACCACCTCGCGGCACGTGAGGAGTCCGCTGACCTAAATTGTGCTTGGAGGTTGCTGGTGGATGCACCAGTGCCTCAACTCGAAGAATAGGACAGACATACTGAACTGCACGTAACGTTGACCTCCTAAGGGCGAGTCTAAAACTACAAAAAATAGAAAAAATGTTGTCACCCATTCATTTTGAAGATGCTGAGAATAGAATACATAACTTAGTAGAGACTTAAGTCGAAAATAGCCAAAAGCCCGCCATGTCGCCGATCAGGATTTTAAGAGGTTCAAATTCGCAAATTTGGCAAAAACTAGCCACCATTGGCAACCTTGCTTAGGGAAATGAAATTTTTACCATATATATAGACTTTTATGCCAATTTAAATATGTAATTAGTTTTATAGTAAATAGTGCAGTTTTCCTTTTATGCCATGGCATTGTGTTGTATGCCATGACATTAAGTTTGATATATTTAATGAGATTAGCTGCACTGGGGATGTGAATAGCTTGGTGTCTTACTTTGAAAACATTGTTACTGCAAGTGCACCATGAGCATGGCATGTAAATCACACTGTACATGACCTCCCTGTCGCGATTTTCATGTTACAATCTGTCATTGTTGTTCGTGATACAGTCACGTCACGTGAGACCAATTTTGGTGTATATCAAGCTAGCGAAATGGCTGCAAGCACACCATGAGCATGGCATGTAAATCGCATTGCACATGACCTCCATGTCAGGATTTTCATGGTACAATCTGTCATTGCTGTTTGTCATACAGTCACGTCAGGCGAGACTGAGTTCGATGTATATCCAGCTAGCAAAATGGCTGCAAGCACACCATGAGCATAGATGGTACATCATATTGTATTTGAGATCCATGTCATGATTTTCATGTTACAATCTGTCATTGCTGTTCATCATGCAGTCACATCACACAAGAGTGATTTTGGTGTATATCAATCTAACGAAATGGCTGCAAGCACACCATGAGCATGGAATGTTTATCATATTGTACTTATGATCCATGACATGTTTTTCATGTTACAGTCTGTCATTGCTGTTTATCATACAGTCCAGTCATGCAAGATCGATTTCGGTGTATATCAAGCTAGCGAAATGGCTGCAAGCGCACTATAAGCATGGCATGTAAATCGCATGGTACATGAACTCCATGTCGCGATTTTCATGTTACAATCTGTCATTGCTGTTCTTGATACATTCACATCACGCGAGACCAATCATGGTGTATATCAAGCCTAGCTGCAAGTGCACAATGAATGTGCCATGTAAATCACATTGTACATGACATCCATGTCATGATTGTCATCGTACCATCTGTCATTGCTGTTTGCCATACAGTGAGACCAATTTTGGTGTATGTGAAATTAGTGAAATGGCTGCAAGCACACCATGAGCATGGCGTGTAAATCATATTGTACATGACTTCCATGTCAAGATTTTCATGGTACAATCTGTCATTGCTGGTCGTCATACAATCAAGTCACACGAGACCAATTTTGGTGTATATCAAGCTAGCGAACTGCACTAGGCTGCAACTGAATACTCACATTGGGCTATCTCATCCGGCTGAGTGTTTGTTTGAATAGTTCTGTTAATTCCACACATCAAGTGTGATGTTACAGAGCGAGTATACTGGCACATTCCACATTGACCAGAAAATTTTCAGATTGCATGTAAGAGGTTGGAAGTTCCTTCGCTTATGTGGGAACCAGTGTCCTGAAAAGCTATTTGAGCGTAAAAACAAATGTTGCACAAAAGTAATTCTAATGACAGAAACACACACACTGGAATTTCTCGCAACTCTTTATATCGGCTTTGTCTTCGCTTGCTGTTAATTTGACCACCATGACACGTGCCCTAAATTGTCGAGCAGGCCACCTGGCAGTCCGAATAGCGAATGCACACTGAATGGTAGGAGTTACATCACACTCTACAGTTCTTGTTTTTGGGTGTTGCCTTAATGAATTTAGTCTAAGCAATATTTTGAGTGAACTGACCTGTGGCAAGGTGCAATAGGAGAAGAGCACGTCGTCCATGTATAGTTCTTGCAACTTGTTTACCACGTGCTCGCTGTGGTCGGCATCCACCTTGGAGATGTCCTTCATGACCACCAGGCCAGGAACCTTGACCTTACCATCAGCAATATCCTGGAAGCGCTTCCTGGGTAGTGCACACAGGCTGCTACTTGAAAGCTGCTCTCACTTAACAGAGCCACGTTTGCAAATGAAAAATTTGTCGTTTCTTAATCGTAGTGCAGTGGTCAGATTTTTAAGGTTGACACCCAACTGAACACCATTTAAAGAGTTTTACAACGAAAGCTGTTACGAGATCACAACTCTGGTGTCGCACAGCGTCCTAGTTGTCCGCCACCGCCGGTGTCCGCAACTACATCGCGCGAAATTAGAAAAAAGACCTAGTACCAATGACACAGTGAGGCTCGAACCCGAATTCGCTGGGTGCCAGCCTAGTATTCTACCATTGAGCCATGCCGGTGCTTGGGCCTTATTGGCAAAGTTGCCATAGGCAGGCTTGATGTCGGGAAAGCAATCGCGTTAATACGACTTATAAAGCATTTTAGCGTTTTACAACAGCGAAAGAACAAGCAGTCGTCGCACAATGCCAATAGCGCAACGAGTGGGTCGTCCAATGCTCCAACCCATAACAAAAGCTTGTTTTTGTTCAGTAATAACTGTGGCGCATAGCTACTTCAGGCATAATTCCTCATCTTCATCAGCAATTAACAATTGGCACAAAATTCCTTGCAATAGTCTAGCGGAAACCACGCTTCTCAGAAGAATGACAAAAATATAGCACAGCGAATGCTGGCCTACTACCCTAACATGTTTATTATTAATGGCGTAGTGGGCATCAAGCAAGTGTGCTTGCAGCAGTTACCCAATGAGTGTTAAAGAAAAGGCCCTGAAAGGTCGCTCTCCTAGGTTTTGCCGTGACTGTGTTGCGCCTTTGGCGTATGCCTGGCGTTTTTTTAAACAGTAAGGCAAGCATTTCCAAAACAGCCTGAGAATTCTATCATATTATTTGAGACAAATATTCACAAGATTTAAGAAAGAAATGTTACCATTACATTCAACTAATTTTTGTAAACTAATGTAGAGTTGCAGGCTAGAGCGAACTAGCTCAGGCCGACCTCTGTGCCTTCTAATAAATTCTCACACTATAAACTAATGTATACTCATGTACAGTACAGCCATAGCAAAATTTGTGAGTGTAGGATGAATTGAGAAGTTCAGTATGCAATGTGGTACAGTCGAATCTTTTTAATTTGAACACGCTTAATTTGAACTTCCAGTTAATTCGAACTCACGATGAGGTTCCGTCAAAGCTATGTGTATTCCAATGGGGGAAAACGCCCGGTAATTCGAATGCCCAAGCACTTCTGACGGTTAATTTGAACATACCGCGCTTCGAAAATGCTCTCAGCCCCCCGCCCAATCTCGTGGCGGCACCTGCGACACCTCCACGCTCCGCGCGAAGGAAATGAAAAGGAAAGAGGAGGCTGTGGTGGAATGTGCTCTTTCTCAAATGCCGATCTGCGACGTGCCCGTTGCTTCTCCCTTTTCCGTCCCTGCCACGTAAAGACCCTTCTCCTTCCAACGCCGCGCGCGAAGAGAGGAAAAAAAAAAGACAGCTGTCGCTGGGCTGAACGAATGTATGGTTGAAGGAAAGGAAAAAGACACTATCTTCTGCAGCCCTTGCCCTTGTGGGAGCACGGCTCTGCGCCTTGAGGAGGGGGTCTCTCAAGCGCCTGGTGCCACGCTTCCCCTTTTCCCATCCCTGCCACGTAACCCTTTTCTTTTCAACAACGTGTGCGAAGAGAGCAAAAAAAAAGAATCTGCTGTGGAGTGTTGGTTTTCTCTCAAACGCCGACCTGCTTCTCTCTGCGTGGAGACGCTCCTCTTTTCTCATCACGTGCTGGCCATGCTGCGGTTGTGTAGCGGAAAGCGGGAGGCTCTCCTTCGCAGTCGTTGTTGTCGTCGTCTTTAGAAAGTGGCGGCGCTGGACATTTTCGCGCGCAACTTCTCTTGCCAGGAGGCCCCGCCGCGGTGGTCTAGTGGCTAAGGTACTCGGCTGCTGACCCGCAGGTCGCGGGATCGAATCCCGGCTGCGGCTGCATTTCCGATGAAGGTGGAAATGTTGCAGGCCAGTGTGCTCAGATTTGGGTGCACGTTAAAGAAACCCAGGTGGTCGAAATTTTCGGAGCACTCCACTACACTGTCTCTCTAATCATATGGTGGTTTCGGGATGATGAAGCCCACATATCAATCAATCTCTTGCCAGGAGAATGCTGAAGCCGAAGTATAAATGCTTTGCAAGCTGTGTGCAAAATTTATTGACTCGCTGCAAGACAAACGCGTGCAGATGTGCATCACCGATTACTTCAATTAATAACAAATGTCCTGTGATTTGTGAATAATGAAACTTTCCCCTCGTGTGTTAGCTTAATGCCCATGCACCACTGCATGAAGAGCCCTCCGTTTATTTAGCTTTCATTAATTCGAACAAATTTTCGGGCCCCTTTGAGTTCGAATCATCGAGATTCAACTGTATGTCATCATCTCCTCCTAAATATATCAGATTAAAAAAAATTTAAGCAATCATATTTCACCAATCAATATAGTCAAAAATATGAAAATGCCGAGAGTGGATAAACGATACTGCAACACTGCAGTTTTAAGCGGAAACACTTTGTAGCTTTGTAGTCCAGTACAAACGCACACACGTCTTGGCGATTCTAACTAAAGAAAATGATCTCTTTCCTTATGAAGCACATGAGCTGACTAAGAAGACAATACCTGGAGGTCTGCAAAAACAAGATCCTCACGATGAATGAACGAAAGGGAATTTTCGAGGGCTCTTAATCGGTGTTGTGGTGTTGTCACGCCATAATTGAAATGATTCTGGAATCATTCCACATTTTTGCAATCCCGGAATGGAATGAGATTGAAATAGGGAGAATGCTTGAAGGAATGGAATGGGAATAGATTAAGTCTTCTACCGAAAATATAGCACATTTTTGTCTGCGTGCTGTTTTTCAATTTTCAAACATTAGTAAATCATAGCCTCAAATTTATCAATATAGCAGCATTTTTAAAATGGCTTGGCTGATTAAAAACGCAATACATTTATAAGCAATGCGTCTACTGCAACTTTTTACCGATATTCACTTTGCTCCGCAGAAGTTTGTCTCTATTAGGGGCGAAGCTGCTTAAGCCGTGGGTCGTACGTTTCCGGTGTATGTATGTATGTAAGTATGTATGTATGTATGTAGTCGTAGGTAACAACCTCTTGTTTAGTCCTTGGAATGTCCACTGGATGGTGGTACTTGCATATGATGAATATATGATTAAAACTGCGAGATAGCGGTACTTGGAGTGTTTACTAGATGCAAGAACAGACAGACTGACAGGATAGACAGACTGACAAACGCTTAGCACTACTCATCATCATTCACTCTGTGGATATGATGATCATGAATAAACTTCATTTCCTGATCCGGCATGTTTGTGGTCCCGGCTAGACTGCACAGGGAGGTAGTACCAGGAGACCTTGTCTCCGCACAGCCTACCTGGCCTGCTGGATAGCCCATTTTTTGTCTGGTACCTTCGAGCTGAGCAGCACTAGCCACCACCACTCCCGGAGAGCCTCAGGAGAACGTGTTGATAAGTTGGGACATTCCCATATTATATGTTTATAAGACGCCCTTCCTGTTAAACATAGTTTGCATTTATTGTCCGTGTATAAGCGTGGGTAGCTCCAGTGCAGAGGGTTTGGGTAAGAGTTTGTCTGTAGCTGTCCATAGATATGCTGCAGTTTTTTTTTTTTTTTTTTCGCGTAACCCCGGTCGAGCGGAACTACGGCGGCAGCATGCGTGAAAAGGATGTGTATTTGACTCCATTATAGTGGGGTAGGAAATATGTGGGACAAACAAAACGATGTGTGAATGTTCTTTTAAGGGAGCATAAGCTATCTCTTCAAGGGATCGCAGGACTTCATCTACCGGAACATTGCAGGTCATGTGGTTGTCGTCCCATTTTTGAGAAAACCACAGCTATCTTCAAGCATCTTAACCAACTGACAAAAAAAAACTTAACAGCCATTTTCAAAATGGACTCTCCAAAGTAGTTATCTCCTAAATATATTGGTAATGAAATGGCTGAAATTGATTGTACTGGTTTGGATAGTCTGCTGCGTACTCTGGACACATCTAAGGCTACAGGGCTTGACAGTGTACTTAAAAAGCGTCACATCATTATTGCACAGTACTTATGCGTAATGTACGAGTTGTCTCTATATACAGGCGTGGTTCCAAAGGACTGGAAAACAGCAAATGTTGTCCCTGTGTACAAGGCAGGGCATAAAAAACATGTACAAAATTATCATCCCATATCCTTAATTTCAACTTGTTGCTAATTTTATAGCACATTATTCATAAAACGTTCAAATAACTTGAATCCACTCATTTTTCACTCACGCTCAACATGGATTTTGGCAGGGTCGTTCATGCACAACACAACTAAGTGAATTTCAGCACGACATACTGATCGCGCTGGACTGTAACAACATTGTTGATGCTTTCTTTCCGAATTTTCTCAAGGCATTTCATGCGGTTCAATATAATCTGTTAAATTTGCTTCTTTAAATATTAATGTTACGGTAAGCTGCAAACCTGGCTCCGGAATCGCGTCAGTGGTCACAAACAGTGTGCCATTCTGATTTCTAGATAGTCTTCATATGTAAATGGGTCTTCACATGTGCCCCAAGGTAATGTTTTGGGTCCATTTTTATTCTTGGTTTATGTAAATGATAGAGTAGATAATATAAAATCTTGCATAAAACGATGTGCACATGATTGCAGGAGTGCAACAGCCAAATACAGTTTGGAGAAATTTTCGGAGCAGTAAAATGCTACTTTTGGAGCACTAAAGTCTAAATTTAGAGCAGAATACAGGAAAAAAACATGCATTTTTTATTATGAAATACCAAATTTAGAGCAGTACAAAAAGTAAGGCTTACATTTAAAAAAATATGTATAAACCATTCGACATCATCTAAATCGTGCAGTGTGAACATGAGCACTGAATGAAAGTGGTATTTTGAACCACCCCACTGAGCAAACAGTGATAAAGTCCATATTAACA